AGGCCCCGTGGGGTGGGGAGGGCAGGCGGCAGGATCTGGCCTCCCCTGGGGAAGGGGACCCTGCTTGTGCTGTGTCCCCCAGGCACCAGAGGATATTTCCCCCTCTCTTTTCCTCTCCAGCTCTCCGCTCTGCGTGAGCCTTTAACTGCGACCCCCTTTAACCCCCTCTCCCCCTTTCTCACCCTCTTCCCCCAGGACCTGCTTGGCTGGTCGCGGAAGGACCTCTGCAGTGAATTCGGCATTGGCAGACCTCAGCAGGCCAGCACCTTCGACTGGACCCATGAGGCTGTGGCCAGGGAGAGAGACTGGCCTGGTGAGACAGAGCGGGACCGGGAATTCGGGACCAAATCAAGCTGGGACAGCACCCGCAGCGTCAGGGATGGAGACCGGCAGGGTGGGCCCAGGAAGGCCTGGGGCAGCGACTACAAAGGGACGGAGCTGATGGGGGAAACGCGACTGGGCTGCAGCGACTGGTCCAAATCCCACGGCGTAGGGGAAAGCTGCCTGCAAGATCGAGACTTCGGTGCCGGCAAACCCAAGTGGGGCACAGGCTATGGCTGGGACAGTGCGGGCAGCAGGGAGGAGATCGGCTCCGGGAAGGCTGACTGGAGCAGCAGCTACAGCGTGGGACATGGCCAGCAGCCGGATGAGGAGCCGAGCTCCAGGCAGCCCAGCTGGGCTGGCGGCTACAGCTCTGGTGACCCAGAGAGCCAGGATGGGGAGATCACACCTGCGTGGGCTGGTGAATATGGCACCAGCGATGCAGAGATGAAGGACAGGGAGCTCACCCCAGACTGGGCCCATAAATACAGCAGCAGGGATGCTGAGACCAAGGACAAGGATTTGACGCTGGGCTGGGCTGGCAGATCCAGCACTGGGGACACTGGGACCCCAGACAAGGAGTTCAGCCCCAGCAGGCCAGCCTGGGACAGCCCATACAGCACCCACGACATGGAGAGCCAGGACAGGGAGTTCAGCCCCAGCAGACCGGCCTGGGATGACGAGCACAGTACCAGGGACATGGAGACACGGGATGGGGAGTTCAAACCCAGCAGACCGGCCTGGGCTGATGAGCACAGCACCAGGGAGGTGGAGACCCGGGACAGAGAGTTCAGCCCCAGCAGACCGGCCTGGGATGACGAGCACAGTACCAGGGACATGGAGACACGGGATGGGGAGTTCAAACCCAGCAGACCGGCCTGGGCTGATGAGCACAGCACCAGGGAGGTGGAGACCCGGGACAGGGAGTTCAGCCCCAGCAGACCGGCCTGGGCCAGTGAGTACAGCAGCAGAGAGATGGAGACCCAGGACAGCGGGTTCACCCCCAGCAAACCAGCCTGGGATGACGAGTACAGCACCAGGGACGTGGAGACCCAGGACAGGGAGTTCAGCCCCAACAGACCGGCCTGGGCCAGCGAGTACAGCTCTACGAACACTGAAAAGGAAGAAAGAGAGTTTAGTCCTGGCCGGCTGAGCTGGGCTGGCGAGCGCGGCATTGGCCAAACCGAGCTGGCCGATGCTTTTGGCATCAGGAAAGACGACTTGCCTGGCTCCTGTGCCCCCGATCCCCCAGCCCAGGAGCCCTGCTGGGGCAGCACCAACGGGCAGGAGCGCGGTGCCAGCGATAGCAGGGACTGGGCTGAAGAGCTTAGAGGAGCCGAGTGCCACAACCAGTTTGGCATCATTGGGACAGAGCGGGTGCCAGATCCCTCCAGCGCTGGAGCGTCATCAGATCGCTCGATGTCCTGGGCTGGAATGAGGTCTGGGGGCCTGCAGGAGCCCCTGGGGGACTGGCACAGGGATCTCCCCTTCGGCAGCTCAGATGCCACCAGCTGCGTGGGCACTGGTGATGCTGGTGGGGTTGGACCGGGCCAGACGGCTTGGGATCAGGGCCTGGGCAGCCTCCCTGCTGCGGACAGCTCTTCCCAGCCCCAGGAGGCTGGCGTGGAAGAGGCAGGCTGGAGCCAGGACCTCGACACAGCTGGCTGGAGTGTGGAGCTGTGCGACGCCGAGGCCAAGCGCCGGGAGTGGGCTAGTGCATTCGGCGCCCGCTGCGCAGCCCGGAGCCGGGACTTTGGTGCTCGGGAGCAGAGCCTGGGAGATGACGCCGGCTCGGCGGACGGGTAAGGAGGGTGCTGGTGCTGGTGGTGGCAATGTGGCCCCGGGGAGGGATCCGTCCCCCTCGGGTGCCCACACTGTCCTGCGGCAG